GTTTTGTTTTTGAAGTAGTTTGAAAGACTCCACGGCTCCCTTGTCTTATTTTTAAAGTAATTTGAAAGAATCTCAAAGGCCCCTTTACGTTTTGTGGTTCGCTTTTTAAAAAAATTTAAAGAATTTTGGGAACTCTGATTAAGTTTTTCAAAAAGTTTTAAAGAATTTCTGAAGCTCCTGACATTTTTTCTTCCAAAAAAAAATTAAAGAATGTCGTGGAACCCCGATGTTTTGTATTTGAAAGAATTTTCAAGAATCTTGTCTGCCCTTGGTGTTTTGCCTTTTTAAGAATAATGTTTCTTTGGCATCTGTTTTATTTTTTTTTTTTTGTATTTGAAAGAGCGTTGGGAACCCTTGTACCTTTTCTTAAGAATTTAAAAGAATATTAGGGGCATTGGTGTTCTGTTCTTGAAAGAGACAAAAAGAATCTTGAAAGCCTCGGAATTTTGTAAAAAAAAAAATAACAATAATAATAATAGCTTCAAGTCTCCTGGTGTTTGGCTTCGGTAGGTTTTTTAGGAACCTTCCGGGTTCATAGAATTTTAAAGAAACTTGGGAGCCTCTGATGTTTTATCTTTGGAGGAATTCTAAAAATTCTTAAGAACCGATTGTGTTTTTGAAAAATGTCTGAAGAATGTTCGAAGCTTCTGGTGGTTTTTTAAACATTCTAAAAAATCTCGGAGACTCCTTGGTGTTTTGTTTTTTAAAGAATTTTGAAGAATCTTGGATAACATGTTGTTTAATTTTTGAAAAAATCTTAAAGAATTTTGGAAGCCCCCGACATTTTTTTTTTTTTGAAAAAAAAAGAATGCTGTGTGCTGAATGCTGATATTTTTTTTTTAAGAGTTTTCAAGAATTTTGTCTGCGCTTGGTGTTTTATTTTTTAAAAATTCTTAAGTCAAGTCCCTGGTGTTTTGCCTTTATAACAATTTTTAATGTCCCTTTGCCACCTGTTTTATTTTTTGTATTTGAAAGAGTGTTGGGATCTCTTGCATCTTTTCTTAAGGATTTAAAAAATGCAACAAAATCGGGAGCCTCTGGTGTTTTGTGTGTGGAGAAATCCTAAAGAACCTTAAGAACCAATTGTCTTTTTGAAAAAAATGTAAACTATGTTCGAAGCTTCTGATGGTTTTTTAAAACATTGTAAAGAATCTCGGAGAAGCGTTGGTGTTTTGTTTTTGAAGGAATTTTAAAGAGTCTTGGTTACCATTTTGTTTAGTTTTTGAAAAACTTCTAGAGAATTTTAGAAGCACCTGATATTTTTTCTTTGAAAAAAACGAAAGAATTTCTTGGAACCCTAATGTTTTTTTAAACGTTGCGAGCTCCTGGTATTTTGTTTTTGAAAGAATCTTGAACACCTCTTGTGTTTAATTTAAAGGAAAAGTTTAAAGTATCTCGGAGGTTCATGGTGTTTCTTTTGGAGATTTTTGAAAGCCGCTCGGAGATCCTGGTGTTTTGTTTTTGAATTTTTTTTTATAGAATGTCGAGCCCCTGGTATTTTGCCTTAGTAAGAATTTTTAAAGTTTCTTTTCCACCAGTTTTATTTTTTGAATTTGAAAAAGTCTTGAGATCCCTTATATTTTTTCTTAAGAATTTAAAAAATATTATGGGCCCTGGTGTTCTGTTTTTGGAAGAGATAAAAATAATCTTGGAGACCTCTGGATTTTGTAAAAATAATAATAATAATTTTAAGGGCTCCTGGTGTTTTATCTTCGGAAGAATTTTTAGAAACATTCGGGGTTCATGTTAATTTATTTTGAAGATTTTTAAAGAATCTCGGGGGTTTCAATGTTCCATTTTGGAAGAATTTTAAAGAAACTTGGGAGCCTCTGATATTTTATCTTTGGAGGAATTCTAAAAATTCTTAAGAACCGATTGTGTTTTTGAAAAATGTCTGAAGAATGTTCGAAGCTTCTGGTGGTTTTTTAAACATTCTAAAAAATCTCGGAGACTCCTTGGTGTTTTGTTTTTTAAAGAATTTTGAAGAATCTTGGATAACATGTTGTTTAATTTTTGAAAAAATCTTAAAGAATTTTGGAAGCTCCCGACATTTTTTTTTTTTGAAAAAAAAGAATGCTGTGTGCTGAATGCTGATATTTTTTTTTTAAGAATTTTCAAGAATTTTGTCTGCGCTTGGTGTTTTATTTTTTAAAAATTCTTAAGTCAAGTCCCTGGTGTTTTGCCTTTATAACAATTTTTAATGTCCCTTTGCCACCTGTTTTATTTTTTGTATTTGAAAGAGTGTTGGGATCTCTTGCATCTTTTCTTAAGGATTTAAAAAAATGCAACAAACTCGGGAGCCTCTGGTGTTTTGCCTGAGGAGAAATCCTAAAGAACCTTAAGAACCAATTGTCTTTTTGAAAAAAATGTAAACTATGTTCGAAGCTTCTGATGGTTTTTTAAAACATTCTAACGAATCTCGGAGAAGCGTTGGTGTTTTGTTTTTGAAAGAATTTTAAAGAGTCTTGGTTACCATTTTGTTTAGTTTTTGAAAAACTTCTACAGAATTTTAGAAGTCCCTGATATTTTTTCTTTGAAAAAATTAAAGAATTTTTTGGAACCCTAGTGGTTTTTTTTTAAACGTTGAGAGCTCCTGGTATTTTGTTTTTGAAAGAATCTTGAACACCTCTTGTGTTTAATTTAAAGGAAAAGTTTAAAGTATCTCGGAGGTTCATGGTGTTTCTTTTGGAGATTTTTGAAAGCCGCTCGTGGATCCTGGTGTCTTGTTTTTGAAATTTTTTTGATAGAATGTCGAGCCCCGGTTTTATTTTTTGAATTTGAGAGTCTTAAGATCCCTTGTATTTTTTCTAAAGAATTTAAAAAATGTTAGGGGCCCTGGTGTTCTGTTTTTGAAAAAGATAAAAATAATCTTGGAGGCTTCTGGGTTTTGTAATAATAATAATAATAATCTCAAAGGCTCCCGGTGTTTTATCTCCGGAAGAAGGTTTTGTAAAGAATCTTGGCGTTTCAGTGTTTAATTTTGGAAGAATTTTAAAGAAACTTGGGAACCTCTGGTGTTTTGTATTTTTGAAAAAAGTGTAAAGAAAATTCGAAGCTTCTGTTGGTTATTTAAAACATTCCAAAGACTCCTTGGTGTTTTGTTTTTGAAAAAGTTTTAAAGAAATTTAAAAACCCCTGATATTTTTTCTTTGGAAAAAATTAAAGAATCTCGTGGAAGCCTAGTGTTTTGTTAAAATACAACTTCGAGGGCTCTTGATGTTGTGTTTTTGAAAGAATTTGGAACACCTCTAGTGTTTAAATTAAAGGAACAGTTTAAAGAATGTCGAGGGCCCCTGGTGTAATCACTTGCGTTTGGAAGAATCTCGGGGGTTCATGTTGTTTCATTTGAAGACTTTTTAAAGTATCTTGGGGATACTGGTATTTTGTTTTTAATTTTTTTTAGAATGTCGGGTTCTTGGTGTTTTAAGAATTTGTAAAATAAGAATTTTTAAAGTTTCTGTGCCACCTATTTCGTTTTTTGTCTTTAAAAGGATCTTGGGAACTCTTGTGACCTTTTTTAGGCATTTAAACGAATAGTAGGAACGCTAGTTTTATTTTTGAAAAAGATAAAATGAAGTTTGGGACCCCTTGCGCTTTGTAAAAAAAAAAATAAAAAGTGACAAGGGCCTCTGGTGTTTTGCCCTTGGAAGAATTTTAAGGAATCTTGATGGTATTTTATTATCTTGGGGGTTTTAGTATTCCCGAAGAATTATTTTAAAGAATCTCGTGGGTATCTGGCATTTTGTCTTTGAAGGAATTCTAAAGTACCTTAGGAGCCGGCGTTGTGTTTGAAAAGAAATTAAAGAATGTCCGGAGCTCCTAGCGTTATTTTTTTAAGAATTTGAAAGAACCTGGTGGAATTTTAAAGAATTTTGAAACCCATGTTGGTTTTTTGAAGCAGCTATTTTCAAGTTCATCGTCATGAAGTTTATCACAAGTGGAGTCAAAATTTTTCGTTGTTGTCGATGAGCCGCATTTAAATTTCCCAAAACCATTAAAAAAATGAGAAAGCTACTATTTTCTTACGATTTCTTAGCTTAAAAAAAATACTGCAAACACCAACTTTTTGAGGATGGAGTGGGACATCAGCAAAAAAGGTAGGATTTTTCAGTACTCCACATTAGCATATTTTGGGAGTTCATGGAACTAAGCATTGTCAGAAAAAAACGTAGTGTAGGTAATAAATGTAGGTAAGTAATTTTTTTTTTGTTTGCAGTTTGTTAGGTATATAATTACATATCATATAAGCATAAAACTGTCCAAATTTAGCAAAAATTGTGGATATTTTGACAAATATTTGTGCATCTAATCTAATTATGCTTCAGTCCAAATAACGGGCAGAAATTTGTGAAGAGCGGCACATTTTTTTTACAAGTCCAATTCACAGCCCGCTAGATGTAACTCCTTAATTAACACTCTGTAATTGTGTGCATACAAATCCGTATCAAATATAAACTTTTTTCTGTGGCAAGAAAATAATAGGAATTAGAGAAAGAATACAAAATCCAATTGTAAAAACCCGACGAACTCCCAACAATCGACCTTGTGACTGATTTTCGGGTGAAATAATCAGCACAACAGCCCGAAAAAATTGTTACGTCTCCTTTATCGGCCTCTCTCTTCGTTACTAATCCGCGCGATGTTCCCTAATCAGATCCTCGAATCCGATAAACCGAATTTCCTGAATAGCACCGAGCAGGAAAAGTTCGGTCGGTCAGTAGAATCTGATGGCTTCCAACAAACCAAGTCTCGACATCATGAATGAAATGAATGGGTGCGCATTGTCGACCACTTAACGATTCAAAGACCTTAGCGTTACAAATATCAAACAAGCAATTGTGCATTCGTCAAAAGGGCATATCATATACCTACTCTAATCCTATTGTGCTCGTAATCGCTTTTGTCATCCCGCGACAGCCTAATTATGGAAAATATCCTATAAATAAGTGGACTAACAAGATCAGCTTTATTGGCCTTTATTGGGCGAGACGACCACTTACCCTGAGACGAAGCGACGAAACCGACCTGAAACAAACGGAATAAATTAGCATGACGTCATTATCGTCTCACGTGTAAAATCGCAGCAGTAATTTTTTTCTAACCATCACCCTTTATCCTCCGCAACCCTCGGTTGCGTCCACTTGAAATGAATCATATTCATTTGCGTGTAACTTTAATAACCATCATCTGAGGGCGTCCGAAGGGGTTAATTAATCCCTCATCGTCGTCATGGTCGCAAAATAATCGTCCCCTGACACTATTCCGTCGAGTCGTTTTTTAATCGATTCGTCCCGGTATTACATATAATTTCCCTAATGCTTTAGTGCAGCAAAGGGTGGAAGGAAGAGGGTTCAGACCCAAGAACATACACACGCTCAACGCCATCATCGTATACGCGTCCATCAATATCTCCGCATTTTATTACTTAGTAGGTAGGTATATCCGAAACATTATGATTAAAGAGCGGATTCTACGCCAAATGCCTTTTCATTTTGGTTGTAGGAAAATACTTTTATTTGAGCCCTACTTGTTTTTGGCTATTTGAAACTAAAAAAAATTTCTGCCGAAATTATTCCATACATAAAATTACGCTTCGCCCATTCCTTGCAACCCATCCCCGTCATTGCCCATTTGCGCTAATAGCCGTGGAACTCATTAGCGTAACGGCGAACGTTCTCGGACCGAAACTTGGTCCCGTCGTTTCTCCACCTCGAGTTAAGACATCCTCGGGTGGGAGACGAAACCGACGAACGGTTGGCAACGCCAAACTCTGCACGATCCCCAGTTCGACCAACCCCACGACCTGAACTTGTCGACCAATCACTGACTAGAACAAAAGAATACACTCCGGGCCAAAAGTCGACGTTTACACGCAGACAGCGCACGCCGATACAGTGTGCACAGAAAGTCGGCACTCGGACCGGATTATGCCGCCTTGTTTTGCGTAATTAATTACTCGGGAAATGTTTAGTTTGGCACTTTTTGGGGCGGGGGTAAGAAATTTGACGCCGTTTACGATTCATTTACCTAATGTTGGGAGAGCGGAGACATATTGTGAAGTTTGAGAAAGTTTAGTCGTGATGGGAAAGGAACAGTAAAGGCAAAAAAATTAACTTCTATCAGTTCAATTTGTTATTAAATTTAGATTAGTGGAAGGACGTGCAAAAAGTGGCAAAAGATTCCAATTAAGGTATCTTGAGTTAAATAAAAATTTCTTAAAATTTGCTTCTGTAAACCCAGTCATGAAAATGATTGGGAATAACTATGAAAACCATGTTTTACATTTATGGGGAGGTCTCCAAAATATGGGAATGTCTTGGGAATGGCCCAAGAACATACGAGAAATCGTAAACTATGGAAGAAGTTAGTGTACAAAATTTGGTCTACTCACTGAACATTCACTAAGCTGAGGCATCAAGAATCAAACCCGTTAACTTCCTCACACTATGTTTTGAGAAAAACGCAAAAAACTGTCACACATTTGTAAGTCTATTTAACGTAAAGTTCTTATTTTTGTTTACATGATTTATATTATTTTAAGTCGAAACAACGACAAACACCAAAAGTTTCGCTGTTGAGATGGTGAAATTATAAACGTGAAAATAGAGTTGTCATGCTTTGATGCCAACCTGTGGATTTATCGCAGTGTGATGGTCAATGGTAGGGATTTATCGTAATTTGAAACTGATAAAACAAATATGTAAATGATTAATAAATACCTATATATTTATTTTATTAGGAGTTTAAGTGATACTTTAGGTGCCAAGTGTGGACGTCTCAGTCAATGAAGCCTTAAATTTTGAACAAATTAACAGTTGTAACTCAAAATTTACAAAAAGTGGATTTAACGGCTTTTGATTCTAGACGACTCCTTTGTTTACTGGAAGTAAAACTAGATTCGGATAAAAATACAATCGATTTAATTACACAGGTCAACAAAATTTAATTTTTTCTCTCTAACTTTGACATAATTGTAATGTAATTAAAAAAAAAATGCATATTTCATGTTAAACACAAAATCAGGTAAAACAATTTAATTTTTGTATCTTTAACGGCAAAAAGTGATGTATTAACAAAAGAACAACCATAATTAAGAAAAAAACAACGATTGTAGTTTAAAAAACGAAAAAATCAAAAGAAACAGCAAAGACCGACGTTTTTTCGGTTGCCTCCTATAGATTTCAAAAACCGTGAAGTCGAAAAATGGAAAGATCGAGAAGTTGAGAAATCGTTTACTAGCCCCGCCCGCCCACCCACACTTTATTTTCTTAGAGGATATGTCATTCGCCAAAATCAGTCTTATCTTAGCAAGTAGGACTAACCCCGCCCACCCGCCCTTCATTTTCTTAGAGGGTATTTTATTTGCCAAAATCAATTTTATCTTAGCAAGTACTTTTGGCAATTTCGACCATCTTTCAATTATTTTTATTTTTGTACATTTTCTTGTTTATTTCTATTTCCAAAAATCACTTTCGGCTTCGTTTCTTCAAAAATTCCTACCGTTTTTCGAAAATCGCCAATTGAAAGACAGCTATTATAAAGATTAGCGCATTTTTTTACTTTTTTCACATCCTAGATTCTATTATTAGTTTCCACTCCCACTCAACAGAGAAAATAATTAGCCCCGCCCACCCACCCTGTCACCTTTTCAGTGACTGATTTCATTTAATCTGAATTAAATGAAAGATCTTATACTGAATAGAAATAAAACTAGTCGTTAGAATGAGAAGAGAGAGGCTGGGCGGGGCTAGTACTTGCTACGATAAGAGTGGTTTTGGCAAATGACATATCTTCTAAGAAAACAGAGGGTGGGTGGGCGGGGCTAGTACTGCTACTATAAGACTGATTTTGGCACTTTTGACATTTTCCATCCTTTCTCAATTATTTCCGAAAATTACTTGAAATTTCTTGTACATTTCGATATCCGGAAGTCATTTTCGGTTTCGTTTCTTTTAAAATTCCTACTGTTTTTAGAAAATCGCCATTTGAAATACAGCTATTTTTCACATCCTACATTCTATTATTAGTTTCCAGTCCCACTGGATAGAAAAAAATAATTAGCCCCGCCCACCCATCCTGTCTCTTTTTCAGTGATTGATTTCATCTGATCTGAATGAAATGAAAGATCTTATACTGAACAGAAATAAAACTAGTCGTTGGAATGAAAAGAAGGAGGCTGGGCAGGGCTAGTACTTGCTACGATAAGATTAATTTTGGCAAATGACATATTTTCTAAAAAAACAGAGGGTGGGTGGGCGGGGCTAGTACTGCTACGATAAGACTGATTTTGGCACTTTTGACATTTTCCACTATTTTTCAACTATTACAAAAAATTGGTTGAAAACATTTTCTTGTACATTTCGATATCCAGAAGTCATATTCGTTTTCGTTTCTTCGAAAATTCCTACCGTTTTTCGAACATGGCCAATTGAAATGCAGATATTTTAAAGATTAGCGCTTTTTTTTTATTTTCACATCCTAGATTCTATTATTAGTTTCCACGCCTACTCGACAGAAAAAAATAGTTAGCCCCACCCACCCACCCTGTCTCTTTTTCAGTGATTAATTTCATCTGTTCTGAATGAAATGACAGATCTTATAGTGAACAGAGATAAAACTAGTCGTTAGAATGAGAAGAGAGAGAGGTTGGGCGGGGCTAGTACTTGCTAAAATAAGACTGATTTAGGCAAATGACATATCCTCGAAAAAAACAAAGGGAGGGTGGGTGGGGCTAGTATTGATACGATGAGACTGATTTTGGCACTTTTGACATATTCCACCCTTTCTCAATTATTTGGGAAAATAACTTGAAGACATTTTCTAGTACATTTCGATATCCGGAAGTCATTTTCGGTTTCGTTTCTTTTAAAATTCCTACCGTTTTTCGAAAATCGCCATTTGCTATTTTTCACATCCTAAATTCTATAATTAGTTTCCACTCCCACTCGACATAAAAAATAATTAGCCCCGCCCACCCACCCTGTCTCTTTTTCAGTGATTGATTTCATCTGTTCTGAATGAAACGACAGATCTTATACTGAACAGAAATAAGACTAGTCGTTAGAATGAGAAGAAAGAGGCTGGGCGGGGCTAGTACTTGCTAAGATAAGAGTGGTTTTGCCAAATGACATATCCTTTAGGAAAAGAGAGGGCGGGTGGGCGGGGCTAGTATTGATACGATGAGACTGATTTTGGCACTTTTGACATGTTCCACCCTTTTTCAATAATTTCCGAAAATTACTTGAAGACATTTTCTTGTACATTTCGATATCCGGAAGTCATTTTCGGTTTCGTTTCTTTTAAAATTCTTACCGTTTTCCGAAAATCGCCATTTGCTATTTTTCACATCCTAGATTCTATAATTAGTTTACACTCCCACTCGACATAAAAAAATAATTCGCCCCGCCCACCCACCCTGTCTCTTTTTCAGTGATTGATTTCGTCTGTTCTGAATGAAACGACAGATCTTATACTGAACAGAAATAAAACTAGTCGTTAGAATGAGAAGAGAGAGAGATTGGGCGGGGCTAGCATTGATACGATAAGACTGATTTTGGCACATTTGACATTTTCCACCATTTTTCAACTACTTCCGAAAATGGTCTCCCGCTTCTGTCTGTCTGTCTATCTATCTGCCGTCTGTCCGGATTTTTATTTTATCTCCAAAACTACTGGACTGTTTGTTGTCAAATTTTCTGTGTGTTTGGGACATTTTGTAGATGGTAAACGCTAACCAAAACTTGGCTAATCATCCCCACCAAGAGTAAGATGACGTTACCTTCAAAATTTACATTAGTAATGTTCTTTAAACATTATAAAATAAGATGTTCCTATGCTTGTGTTTTATGAATTTGTGTTGAGTTTTTACTCGAGACCTACAGATTTTTAGAAAAAAAATAAAATCAAAATTGTGTCACTACATTTTACAATTTTCGTTGAAGTTGCAAGACTAAATACTGTGAAATATTCTTACAATTATCCTTCAATGTTTTAAATGTAAAATTAAAAAAAAATAAAAATTAAAA